AGCTTTGATTCAGGCTGCAGTTTCCACTGATGAGTTCTTAAGATGGCAGTCAGCTCTTTTACTCATTAGGTGTCAAACACATCAATACTGACAAGAAAGTCCTAACCACAGCCAAGTTATCTCTAGATGAACATATATAGTGTTATATGATCAATCTTGGTAATTCTTGGGTGATTTTTGCTAATATAAACCAAATCAAAGCTATGAAAGAAAGAACAATCCAGAGAGTCTAGTAAAGTGAGAGTCTACCTAATCCTAGTTATTCATGACTTTCTAAACTTCAGTCTTTGATTGCAACTAATTCATAAAGCTTTGATGGAGCCATTCTCTCAAATGCTGGTAAGAGGTGTCAGTATAAGTCTCACAGAAGCTCCAATGAGTATGTTTGCTAAGTCTGGCTGACCCAGCTCTGACGGAACACTTAGGGAGAGAGATGAAGATGGTCTCTGTGCAGTACTGAAGAAAGGGAAAGGCTCAGCAAAATGTGAAGCACAATTATTTGAAAAACTGAGAGCAGCACCTGTTTCTGCTTTACATGTATAGAGCTTCTCAGAGCAACTGTTCAGTGCCCATGACAGCACCGATATATGAACTATCAGCTTTCTACTTCCTCAAAGCCAGACAGGACAAGACTAAAACACAGATAGACAGACATACGCTTTTTAATGCTAATATAGCCAAAAATCACTACATACAATTACAACATCAACCTAGTGCAAATTCCATGCCACTCCTTACATTTTTCCCCAACTCTATCCATTGCGTGGTTGGAAAAAGCTAGTTTTACTTTAAAAAGAAAAAACACACCACCCATAGAATAATGTGTTTAAAAGTCTACTGCTTAAGAAACAGCATGCTAGACCACAGATTGAGAGCACTCAATTTGGACCAGGGCAGAAAACCTTAGGAGGTATCCCCAGCAAAGCATTTAAAACATCTTGTTAACAGGACTGAAGTTCCCTCCAGGCTTATTGATGCTATACACCATCATGGTAAAAGAAAGAAGCTTTAGCAAAGTAAACCTGCTGGTGGTCAGGACCAGCATTTTCAGGTATGCTGCAGTAGCTACATACCCTTAAATCAACTGTAAGCCTTTCTTAGTTACTAGTTGTTATCAACTTATTTACTTATTTATTTAGTTATAGGCACATTAGCCTGTGCTTCGCTTTCCATGCAAAATATTTTAACACAAAACAGATTTGGGTCCTTTTTTTTTTTGTTTTGAACCACAAGTGAAAAAGCAATACATTTAGTTGGGAAGAAGGTTGCCAAATGGATGAAAAAGGCCTGCAAGTTTTCCTCTTGGTCACCCTTAGCATTTACGGTCAACTTTTCCCAGCTCAAAAACCAAAGTCTGCTCTCAATTAGCCTGGCATAGATCAGAGCAACTCCATTGACTTCAGACAGCTTTTCTGGATATAGAGGATTGTGAGACAGAACAGAATTTGGCCAATATTGTCTTTTTTTTGTTTTACCGGCACCATGGTTTTTTCTCTTTTTGGAAGACTTATCACTTGACACAGAGCAGATGACTGTGGACAACCTGTTTGATGTGGTAAACAAAAGCACAGTAACTGCCAAATGAGCTGATGAGTTAGGAAGAAAAGAAACATGAACATTGTGAGAAAGGAGAATGCTGAGGAAGAACTTGAACCTTCTGCTGATTTTGGTACAGAAGTCCAAAAATAAGCAAGAATATTGCCCAAAATAAAATTTAGTACAGTGAAAGAGTATGACTTCAATCTCTAACCATGTCCATCAGAAGCAATTCCGCTGGGAATAAGCCACTGTAAACCCAGACAGAAGACATCTGCAACCACATACAAAGTTTAGATACCAGCCGGAGCAACATCGTAATATTATCATTAATATTATTACATGTTTCCTATTGGGAAAGAAAATGTAGTGAAAGGATTAAGAAACTCAAACCCATTTTGCAGACTATCCTTTTGGAAAATACAGCACCGGAAAAACTTACGGCCAGCTTTTTTCCTTCCTCAAGAGGAACCAGGATCATGAGCCAAAAGAAGGTCATTAGCAGAAGACAGATCTCATGAATGAACAGAAGTCACTTTCAGTTTACAGAGGCAAAAAGTAATTTTTATCTATTTGTACAGATTCTTCTTTACATTAACAATGGAAGCAGAAGGGACATAAGAAGCAATAATTTTGACAAAACCAGGTGATGCCTGCATCATATTTTAACATATGATTTTACAATTTCAACACAAATTGCAGCATCCTAACCTTATGAAGGTCTAATGAAGTTCTATTAAAGTCTTTTAAGCCAATAAATATGTTACACCAAGGACCATGTGCTCAAATTTGAAAATTTGATTCGAGCAAACCTCTTTCCAAGTAAAGTTAATTCAAGCTCTATAAATGCGTAAAAACCTTGCATGATTCATTCGAGTTCATTATTTTTCTGTCTAAAGGTTAATGAATAGAAGCTATAAAGCTTTTCCTTTATTTTTTTATTTGTCCCAGCTTAGCTATCAGGTGTAGAGATACTGTTGCATGCATCTGGACTATTTCACTGAAAGTTGAGACTCACTGGAATATGATAAAGCAGGAAGGCTGTTTTTCCTCTTCCTACCACAACTACAGATCTGGGAAAATAACAAAACTAAAAATGCGAAGGGCAGAATCTCTTTATCTGAAGTGCTTGTTTACCAGAAACTCAGTGGGAATTATGAAAGAATCACCAGTTGACTAACATCTTTTTATGGCAACTTTAGAAATTTCACTGGGCATACAACTTGCATCTTCAGGTACTGAAACATATTCTGTGGTCTGAAACGTCCAAATGAAAAAAACAACTGATTTACTAGCTACAAGTAATACTCTCTTTATCTGATACGATGAGTTAAAGATATGGTTTAGCTGTTACAGCGGAGTGCCAGGTTAATGGCTGGACTTAATGATCTTACAGGTCTCTTTCAACCTTGATGTTTCTATGATTCTATGAGGATGGGGCAGGATTTTTATTTAACTAATATGCAAAGCAAAGATCAGTGTTACACACATTCATAATTGAATCTCTCTTTTCTTACAGCGGCAGATGAGCAAGCTAGAAATTCCAAATGGAGTTGAAAAGAATTTAATTATTTTCCTACAGAAGTTCCCAACCTGCAACCTGAAATTAAATTTGACTGCTTAGATAAAAACTTCTTTTATAGACTTAAACTGAAATTATGCTTCTAATTATGTCACTGTCAAAGAACGTGTGAGAAGAACTGGGTATTTTTTTTCAAAAATTAGGATAATTATTGATATTATGCTATGTTGGTTAAAAAATATTTCAAAGAACTTATGAAACTAATCTGCTGTGTTTCTATTCCCTTTATTCTAGTCCTACTAAAAATCAGCTCAAACACAAATTTATTAGGAGTTATTGAAGTCTGCAAAACAAAGGTAGCAGCAAATATTAATAGTGAGAAAAGACATTGGTAGAAGTTGGCGTCCTGCATGGCTTCTATTTGTTTAATTACAGTAAGAGAATGAACAATTTCTGTAGAGTTGAAGCATCTCCTAATTTCCAACCCAACTTCATGAGTGTAACAAAAAAATCAATAATATCTGCTTCACATTCATGAATACATTGTTAAGCCATGAAGCAGGGCCTAAGGTCATGCACAAGGCATCCCATGCAGAGCAGCTGAAGCCTCCAGCTGTACTCACACTGAAGATGCTTTAAACTCATCCTCAAATGCACTGTCATCCTTGTTACCAGCCTGTAAGAACATGGGGCTCTCAGCAATCAGCCCACTAAGGACAGGCCACAGAAGATGATGGAAAACAAGCATGAATACATTGCCAAATGTGAGAAGAAAAAGGTTTTAAAAAAAAAAAAGAAAATAAAGTGCTATTATGTGGTATATAACATGCAACTACTGTTTGAAATATCTGGAGTCTCATATTTTTATATTACCCGAATCCATTAAGCTTTAGTCAACTCAGTTTGCTTTGCAAGGAGGACTGCCTTACATGTAATGCAGGATTTTAAGGCTCTAAGTTCACATCCAGTGCTAATAAACAGAAACACTCAAAGAACTTCCCAAATGTTAAAATTAATACAAGATATGTTCTTCATGAACCACGCTCAGTTTTGCTGAGCACAACTGAAGCTGCCTGAAGCTTATGTATCTTCTGCTGCCTGAAGCTTATGTATCTTCACCTGAGCTAATCAGCCAGATCCCCTTTGTAGTCAACAAACAGCCAGTTTCAGAGCATGATTCATCTCAGTCAAAATTTCAGGCATTAGATAACTGAATGTCTTGCTGCACTCCACTGACATCAAAGGGAGGTGCACTGATCAGACTTCTGACTTACATGAAATTAATTCCAGCCCTCTTGTGCAGCAGTCAGACATGCTGAGGTTCTACAGCTCCTTTTTTTCCCTAAGCATGCACAGCCCAAGCCAACCATTATAGGACTGGCAAAGACACGATCTTCGACAGACTCCAGTGTTATACACTGCTGCTCAACTAGTCACTACTGCCTTTCTTTTGCTAAATACAAAACATTAGATATATTCGCTACTACAGTGTAGCCTCACAGTGAAATATTTATGTAGGAACGCTGATTGCAAAGGGGGAATAAAATAAGAATGAACTGCAACATATACAGAACAAACAGCTCTGCATAACTGTTATTATGCTCTTATTACAATCTTCTGTTATGTGGACATATCGAGTATAAAATCTGTTGATGGATGAAATTAAGTTTGGTTAGTTCCCATATCAATTGCTCTACCTCATGTGGTTTGGGTCCACTTCGTTAGGATAGATGGTGCCAAAGAACTTAGCTATGTAGATTAGTCAGCTACAAATTAATTTCTTTTTGGTGGTGGTGTCTTAACTCTCTATATTTTTTCTTTTTTTTATTTCAACAAAAAGCTGAAAATAAAGTCTGTCATATTAATAAGATACAACAAACATCACCGAAAGTAACAGGAGAGAAGAAAGGAATATTCCTCAGCTCATGCACTTACCTTTCACTGAGCTCTTCAACACGCTGTCCATGGCCTAGCATGAAGCTAGACTGACCGCATGGACTCGCAGGGGCCGACAAAGTGCTTTTGACGTTCTGCACAGAGTGCCTGCGGCTCCGCCGGCGCTCTAACCCCCTCCGCTCACCAGCACCAAGACTGGCCCTTCTCCGGTCCTTGCGCCCACTGGGAGGGGGCTCGGCACTCTCGTCTCCATCCTCATGCCTCAGTGTCATCTGAGAAAGAAAGGGAGAAGCCGAGGCTCTGACACAGTTCCTTTAGGCACCATAGGTCTTCACACTCAGGCTAAAAATGTCCTGGTCTCGATATGATTTGCTCCTGTTAGCATCACTATTTCTACAGCTATTCCTGTAAGCTGCTGTCTATCCATTAGTGCAGTGTGGCAGCTCTAAGAATGGAATTACATACTGATGCCTTGTATAGAATACTATAGGACCTGTAACAACACATTTATGTATCTCTCAATTTGTATTCGGTTTCTTTTTAACATAAGACTGAATTTTTAGGGAAGCTGAGCAATGTTGGACAACTAGTTCTCTTTATTTCCTTCCAAAATACTTAGGTGAAGTCTTGGCTCTAGTGAAATCAACACAAAAAGCCTCTCATGCATTGACTGAACACTTCCTCATGTTTAGACAATACACCTGTAATGACTGAGTGGAAGCTGCATGTACTACTTTAGAAAGTGTTGGAAATAGTAGAGGACTAAAATATGGGTGGCAAACCTAGTATCTCAAACTACAGCATGCTGTTGACATGCTGATGTGACATACCTCTAAGAGAAACAAAGCAAGTGCTACCTTATGGTATGTCAGGAGAGATATCCCTGGCAGAAACAACGAAGGTACTAGTGGATCTCATCCGAAATGCAGCCTAACATTTCAGTAATTTTATATGAGAAAGATGCACTCAAACAGGCACAGAAGAGGGCAATGTGGGTGATCAGAAGAATGCACATCTTCTTGTTTCTGTTGGTCTTGTTATTCTGATAACTCTTACCAGAAGGGATTTGAAAAAAAAAATAAACTAAAAGCTAACAAAGGCAGGGGGAAGTGAGATATCTCTGCTTAGGGTGTAAAACCTATTTCAGTGAGGAAGAAGAAATTGTTCAGGTAAAGAACAACATTGGCAGAAGAAAGGAACAACGTGCATATGCATGTCTAAATTTAGTCTGGTCATCAAGAGGACCCTGGTACTCAGCTAAGTCAACTGTTAATTTTGCAATCAAGTGTTTCAGTAGGCACAGCATGCACAAACCCTCATCACCATCTTTTAAAGAGGACTTCATAAGCTGATGCCTCTGACAATAGAAAAACAAAGAAGATTATGGAGCTTTTTTTCTTATTTTGGCCTGACTCTTCCTGAAAATTGGAGTATATAAAACTTAACTATGCTAAAGTTAGTGAAATGTCATGGGTGTAGAGTTGATGAAGAAAGTGGAGAATCAAATATATCAAATCCTTTGGTAGACTTAGGCAGAGATGAAGTCATTTCATTTCATTGCACCAGAACATGAATTCACATTTACATTACATTAACTTCAGCCTAAACTTCCCCACTCCAACACTTCCCAGTGTCTGAAAAGAGGCTAATTATTAAGAAACTGGATATCCTACCCTTACATTTATATGCTTCAGAAGTAGTTATTTTTTACCTAGGTGGTAAATGTGGAGTCACTCATTACGCCATTGCTGCAAACTGCATAGGATCTGGTCCAGGGTAAACTCATAAACAAGGACTTGCTGGATATTCAGCTGCAGAACAAGTGGTATTTGTGAAGCTGAGCTCAGTCAAACCTTTTTCACGAGCTGAATACTTTTGCATACGGAAAGAACTTCTACTTACTTCAGAATGTGTAACTAGCAGTTGCAGAAAGTTTTAATTGCAAACAGAACTGCCTCTAAGGAGGCTAGTAAATGTGCTGGTTTGCCTTGGAGCATGCCCCAGCTTTGGTATGAAATGTCTTTGCATTAAATGCAGCTATGTACCGTAGCAGGTCACATATACAAACCTGTATAATGCTTCAAACAACCAGATGTTTTTCTTTTAAAATAAAATAGATAACCAAATTTCACCTAGGTTACATTCCCCCCTCCCCTTGGCTTTGAAGTTTGCACAAGCTGCAAGATGCATAAAACAGGGCATGTTATATTACCTCATAAATGTTAAATTGCTCAACTAAGTCCAAGTCTGTTCCTTTCTTGTTCAAGTGTCTCTGTGAAATAGCTTCAATGCCTAGCTCTTCCAGACAGTCCACCACGTCGTAGAAAGAGTCTTGATCTGGCAATCCTGACAGCGTCTAAGAATCAAAGGAAAAACATTTAAATCTGTTTGTTTTGAGAAGAATTAAACAAAGGTTTTTAGAAGCGGGTGGCAAGTGCTGCTATGTATGATTTCAATAAAGTAAAACCCACAATATGGGATTAGAGACACCGCTAGAAAATAAAAAACAAGTGGCACAGCTTTTAACAAACAACTCTGTGCGCTGTGTAGAAAAACGAATAATTGGTGAAACAAATCAATGCTGTTATTTCATACCAAAAAGTATGGAAAATGTGGGTCTTTAAAATACACAGTTGGATTCTTCCTGGCTTCATTCAAGTGCAGATTTAAAGAACTGAGAATGTTAAGGCATGAAAGACAGGGATAAAAGCAAAGAAAGAGAAAAAAATAGTTTAGCTAAAAAGAGTGAAGCTGATTTCCTACTGATTCCTGTAAATTTGGCCTTAAGAAGAAAAAGTCCAGTGCACAGCTGTGTGATGTCAGGACAGCAGGAAATATCCTGCACCATGCACCCACTGTCCTCCACATCTGCAGCAGTGGCTACCCTCCCTGTGCACAAGTTGTTTTATATTACAGAGATAGTGAATCCTCTCCTCCCTTTCAACTTGACAAGTCTTATTAAAGGTACACTGAGTCCTTAACTCCTATAAAACATTAAAAGAGTTACTAATTCCTGATTATGGGGTATCGCAGTTTAACCCCAGCTAGCAACCAAGAACCATGCAGCTGCTCACACACTCCCTCACCAATGGGATGGGGGAGAGAATCAGAAGGGTAAAAGCTAGAAAAACTCATGGGTTGAGATAAAGACAGTTTAATAGGAAACGCAAAAGCTGCACACACAAGCAAAGCAAAACAAGGACTTAATTCACTGCTTCCCATGGGCAGGAGATGTTCAGCCATCTCCAGGAGAGCAAGGCCCCATCATGCATAACAGTTCCTTGGGAAGACAAACACCATCACTCCATATGTCCCCCCTTCCTCCCACTTTATATACTTAGCATGATGTCATATGGTGTGGAATATCCCTTTGGTCAGTTTGGGTCACCTGTCCCAGCTGTGTCTCCTCCCAGTCTCCCATGCACCCCCAACTTCCTTGCCAGCATCACAGTATGGAAAGTAGAAAAGGCCTTGGCTCACTGTAAGCACTGTTCAGCAATAACAAAAACATATCTGCATTATCAACCCTGTGCCCTGCACAGATCCTAAAGATATCCCCATACTAAGCACTGTGAAGAAAGTCAATTCCACTTCAGCCCAAACCAGCACATTCCACCCCTTATTCCATACCATTTATATCATGCTCAGGTCCTACACTTCAATACAACTTCATTAACCACCACCTCTGTTCACATTCTTTGATGTAATACACAGATATTATTCCCCTAGTCTATGGACCACTCCTGCAAAATGTCCACAAAATGTCCATAAAATGTCTGCTGAATTCATCTAGTCCGTGACTTTGGGCTTCATCTGTTCTGGTGGTCACTCAGGACAGGAGAGGTGGTGGGTTGCTTGGAGTTACTGGGCACCAAACCCAGCTCAGGTCAGGTCACTGCTGCATTTGCACTGCTTCTTGTCAGGCTTCTCATCCATTGGTTCAAGTGGTTCCTGCTGTAGTAATTCCTGTAACATGCAGCTCAAATCATGGCTTAAACAATTTAAAGGCACATCCATTGCAATCTCCATCCCTGGTCCTTTTGGGCCAGGTGCTCTGGTGTAACATTGCAATGAACTCCTCCCCTTGTTTCCAGCCTGGCTAGCAACAAGGGGTTCCTGCTTGAGTCCATCATCAGTATAGTCCTTCTGGGCTGCAGGGGAACGCTGCTTCACCATGGTCTTCACTATGGGCTGCAAGGGAATCTTTGCTTCCCCTGCTCCAGTGTGGGGTCCCACCCACAGGAGACAGTCCTCCTTAAACTTCTCCAATGTGGTTCCTTCCCATGGGCTGCAGTTTTTCACAAACTGCTCCAGCATGGGTCTCCTGTGAGGTCACAAGTCCTGCAAACCTGCTCCAGCACAGGCATCTCATGGGTCACATCCTCCTTCAAGCATCAAACCTGCTCTGGCGTGGGGTCCTCCGTGGGCTGCAGGTGGGTCTCTGCTTCATCATGGGCTCATCAACAGGTCATAGTCCCTTCAACTGAAGTTCACACTGGAGTTCCAGCCTGGCCAGTACAGCAGCAACACCCTGGCCCTCTGCCAGCCCAGGCACATCCCCATGGATCTTATCAAAGTGTTCCCAGGCACAATACAGTAAGGTGATAAGCAATACAGCAAGCAGCAAAAGCAAAAAGCAGCAACTAATGAGCACTAGACTAATACACAGTCAGGAAGGCAAAAGGTAAGCCCTGCTGCAAGCACGAGAGCCTGCTCATTGCTAGTTAAACATCACTAACAGCTATAAATTAAATCTAGTATATACCAAACAAATCTATAGAGTACAGAATGGCAAGAAAACTAATGAAGTTGTATTGGGGGTGGAAAAAAAGGTTTTATGGAAGTGTATCAGCCAAACGTTCTCCTAAATAATAAAAGCTATTAGACAACATATTCAACTGGTAATAGCACAATATTCTTATCACTACATATCCTCAGTTATGTTTCTAAACAAAACCTGACATAAGTTAGCACTAGGCTATGCCTGGCTTCAGATTGAAAACCTCAATTTATTTGCAGTTTCTAAAATGGCTCACACTGGTTAGTAAAACTAGTAAGTAAGGTGCTTTCTGTCATTTATGAAGCAATCACAGTATAAAGCAATGATGCAGAGATGATACAGACAACAGGAAGTCCAATGGGTGTGCAGTATTTTTCCTGCCCTGGTTACTGAATGCCCAACAGACTGGTCTCCTCTTGCAGGCCCATGCACTAGATAGAGAGACAAGAGCTAAATCCTACATGTTATGATGAAAAGCACTGCATGGTAAATAAACACACTTATGGGCATTAGCCAAGTTTTCAATTGCTTTGGGATAGGAAGAAGCCTCTCTCATGTATTTGTTTTCCCAGGAACCACAGCTTCTAAAACATCTGGTGTGGCTGATGTCAGACACAGGACTGAAGATGATCATTGCTCCAGTGTGGCAGTTGTGATGTTCCCAAGGCAGGTCATTGATAACTGATGTTGCAGCTGCTGTTTTAACACCACACTGACCTGCAACAAGCACTTTTTCAACTACACCTGTTGGACTGCTGGTAGGTGGTACTCCAGGCTCCAACTTGTAACCACTGGACTGGAAGCTGAAGCTTAAATTCTAATATTACACCAGACATGCTAAAGAACATTCAGTGTTTAATCTGAATATACTAATGCATATTAATTTTTATGTCCCTTGTAATTATTTTATCTATTTAAAAATGTATGACATAAGAGAACAAGCAATATTAACTACAGGTAAACAAATCAGGACGAATCTTACATTTTACAAAGCGTAATCTCAGTAATAAAGAGATTTTATAGCAGTTGAATAGAAAGTGAGTTAAATGCAACATAGATTAATTTTTTTTCTGCATTGATAAGTAGTTGGTGAGGTTTTTTAATACAAAGGAAACACAAAGGCTTTAATCTATCCAGACTTCAGTAATAAACACAAGGAAGTAGAGATTAGAATAACATCTAACAGATCATAGCAACAAACCTAAAGAAGATAACAAAGATTATACTGCAACTATACATTATAAGAAGTATCTGCACTGGGATCAGTCTCATTTAAAAGATTCTTTAATGCCTGAATCCTCCAAATTAAGAGAGGGTTAATGAAATATCAGCATAAGTAAATTGGTTAAGCATCAACAAAAGAGAGGGAGAGGATAAAAGGACTGGAGCAATTCATATGTCTGGGCAGATGTGTTTTCTGCTCTTGAACAGGAAGGAAAAGAGTCTGTAAATGTATACATGGAGAAAGAAAATGGAGCAGAAGTATGCTTCCTTAAGACAAATCCTTCATGAGGACTCTCTCTGCACTGAAAACTTTGACATTTCCTTGCCTAAAGAAGCTGAAACCATCTGAGCCTTCTTTGTATTCTCTGCGGGAGAAAAAAATTACAACTGTTACATGCTGCTTGCTGTTTTCTCTATAATCATGAAAAATATCCCATTAAAAACATCATAAAACTGCCCATAAGCCAGATCATAATTATAAGTGTGGATTTGTGGGATTCCTGTCTTCCTTGATCTTCATAACTGCCTTGCTGCTTTGACTGTAAGATTCTTTTTCTTTTTGTGTGCTTTTAAAGAACTACCTCCTCCTAAAAATAGCTTTAAACATACTGAGTAACTCAGACTAAAGGAATCAACTATAGGATAATAAATGAGCCAATAGAGAACAAAATCTTTCAGGAAGTCACACATCAGGTAGATTGCAACTGCACAAATGATGATGAGCATTATCTTGGGAAGAGGAATCACTACACAAAACAACAAGGTTTAGAATGGAGTCATTAAAGACTAGTCACCTTGGCTTAAACACCAGCTACAGACAAAAGCACATGTTAACTACTGATGCTTTTCAGTAGTTACATCAGAAAGAATACATCAGTGAGATAAGATAGTCTTTAAAACTCAAGTAGGACCTTACTAGCATGGAAGCAGGAGCAAGGGTGACCCTAAGCAAAAGTACAGTAACATCAGTAATGTCACCAGGAGAGGTTAGTCCCTCTCAGGCATATTTGCTGGACAACATCTGTCATTAAGAAATCATTTTATAAAAAACTCCCGAACAGCAGAACAACCCACAGCCTCAACCATGTAGCCAAGAGCTCAGTAAGCTGGCAGTTTGGTTTATGATCTCCACCAAGAAACTCGGGATCTTCAAGTGAATATAATGAGTAATAATAATATTTCACAATACTCCATCCTATTAAATATAACCATAAACCACACTGTTATTTTGATTTGCCAGTAGTATGCTAGTTCTGTGCTCTTTCAAAAATGAATCTTTGATTTTAGTCATCCTAAGATGTGTCTAGGACTAGATGCTGATTTTTAAGGAAAATTTCTAACTTTGATGGACCTTCCATTTTCTCCATTCTCTCCTTCTCCATAGCACAAGTAAATACTTCAGAAAACATTTGTTTTTACTGAAAAGCTATTACTTGTAAATCAGGTCACCAGAAAATATAAGGAAATAAGAAAAAATGTAACCTCACTTTTTTAAGCAGAAGTACTCTTACTAGCACTCAGACCTGTGAAATTCATCATATTTACTTTGCAGTAATAAAATATATTTAAAGTACCAGAACTAAGAAATTGTGCACAATGCAAGCCTTTGTAAGCATGTGATCTTTTCACCAGCACTTGCTTTGTTTCTCCCCTTGGATAATCTGTTGAGTTAGTTTGTTGAGTTTTCGTTAGCACTGCGTTGTCAGCGCTGGGAGATGAGCCATATCGTACCACAATTCCACACAGCATCTAGCAAAACAGCAATTCTGCTGCCACTGGGTGACTGCCACGCAAGTAACAAGAGTGTGCTGATTGATTACAGCTTGTCCTGCAGTTTCTCCATGACAGGTCCCCTCCATCATGTGCTCTCAACAGAGAAGTTGAAAACACTAACATCAACTCTACCAGTTACGCTAACAAAGTAAACAAACCTTGTTAATCAAGGTCATTGCGTAAACCAGTAGTTCAGTATCAACCCCATCCTTCTCCTCCAGTATCTCCATGATGTTAGACCATGGCTTGGCTCCTAAAGGAAAAGCAGAAACAAATGGTTATGGTGATCAAAATGGAGAGCTATAGCATTAACACTTACCTAGGAATATGTAGCCAGGTGAAAGATCAGGCGGAAAGATGCAGCTTTCTCTACAGTCTGTCCTGCTTCCCTGAGAGTGAAGTTACTGTAGACAGTGAAAATGAGGGGGAGGGGGGGAATTTTACCCAACCTGTCATAGGTTCACATAGGCTTTGATAAGTCTTCCAAAAAAACCTGTATGCTATGATTTCAGTGCACCTGTTGCTTACATTCCTAGTGCTATTGCTGAGTTACACTACATTAAGGTAAGTCCTGTTAACAAAACAGTGTTGCAGAGAAATGCAGTTTTCAGAAATTACAGGCTATGTGTCTCGGATAAAAGAAATTATCAATGAGGGGAAAAGATTTTTGCCGTTGTTCTTGCTCAAATTATTTTAATAAGAAGCCTCTCTACATAAATTTCAGATACATTTCTCTCATTTCCCAGTAAGTCAGATCAAAATTTGTGCTTGTAGTTACAATGTATTTTCTTGATTTGAATTTGCATCTGATGCCTAAACCCTAGTGGATTGTTTTGCTATTATGCTAAAAAAATTAGACAGGCAATGCCACCCACACTCAGATAACCTCTTGTGTGGAAGGTACCTGGTAAAACCCTCCTATTTCATTTGGCTAAATGGCAAGATGGTTGCATTTACTAGAGAAAAAACACCACAGAACTATTTTATCTAGGAAACTGAAGTAAATAACAGAAGTCTATAATTCATTGTTTTGTTTGGAGTAAAGCTCAAGGTGAGTAGGACAGAGAGCAAACCCTAATCCAGAGATACTCAATTCAACTACAGAGCATAACTGCAAGAGTCTTTGGATTTCAGAGGGGAATATACAGAGCATTCCAAGAGTCCACATTCCCTAAACACTACAGGGATGATGAGAGTTTGAGTATAATCAGGCAGTAAAACAAAAACATGCCATCACAACAACCTGTTGCTGACTGATCACGGACTGCAAGGTCTAAACTCTGCATTACCCTCACAGTGATAACAGTCCCTGTTTACTCCTAGTGGTATCATATATATACCTTGCTAGACAGATATAAAATCTCTGCTAATCAAGGATCTGCATTTTCAAGGCAGTGGCAGTGCACTGTGTAGAAAACCCATCTACTAATGCATGTGCAGACAGCAAAATTTTTCCTGTTTTCTCTCCCCTTCTTTTTAGACAGTCTCTGATCTGATTACCTACTGGATAATAAACCAGAGGTTCCTTATCTCAAGCGAAATCAAGGGAGGAGGGGGATTCACTCTCAGCTCTCCAGATGTATTTATGTGTATTACTAATTGAATGCTAATTCAAATACATGTTTGTAATGCAAATACTCTAGATACTTCTTTACCAGATTCTCTATATTGCTAGACATTTTGTGCAGTGTATGTTCAAAAGACATGTGGAACAAATTCACTGGGCTCACAAATGAT